GTCATGCTTCATCTCTCTTCCTAATCTTCTGATTCTATCAGATGCAGCTGGCCGAGTAGCGGCGCTGAGCCGTCAATCGGACTCCTAATCAAAGGCATCCATACCTGTATTCTTCACTCTTCTGATTGCAGGCTCCCCATCATGTTGCCCATCCTGCAGCGGCTCTGAGCGGCGCTGAACTCCGGCTCATCTTCCAAGTACGTGTCTGCCCTCCTCGCAGCATCTTCCCGCTCGCCTTCTATGGCTTCTCTGCATAAGCGTTCACTACTGCTCGCTCAACCTTCATGCGGTCCGAGACGCGGCTTTCCCGACCATCCTACTATCCTGGTTATCTACTCTCCAACCCAAGATTCTAAGCGTGAGGGCGCCTGCAACATCAATGGCCCTCTCCGATATGTCTCTGCCCCTACAGGTCTCCGCTTCTACACGGACGTGCCCCTTCCGTGGGTTTTGGGGGGTTCTTCCAGGACCATCGGGTTGCCGGGCCGCGGCCGCTACTTTCCACCGGAGCACCTCCTCTGCCCTACACGAGATATTCCCAGTGGTCGTGGCCTGCTCGCCGTGGAATCACACGTGGCAGAGAAAGAGGATCTCTGTCACGCGTGATAATCTCGACGTAGTGGAAGCATTACACAAAGGTCGCTCTTTTTCACCCAACATAATGTCCCCTGACCCTTTCAACCTTCATCTCAAACATTCAAGACCAAGGCGCCTGCAACATAATAATAGCTCGCTCCGACACATCTCTCTGCCCCTACAGGTCCATGATGCGTTACACTCGCCTCCGCTGCAAAAAGGAGATTTTAACGGACCTCTAATTCTCACTCCAGACAACCTTCCCATGACAGCAACCTGGTTCAGAACTCAGCTAAGATCCCTACTGCTCCTCTGCAATTTGTCTCCCCAGCTCTATACAGCCCACTCCTTCAGGATAGGCGCTGCCACGCGCGCGGCCTCGCTGGGGCTCCCCCACACCTCTCTGCAACAGCTGGGGTGCTGGCCATCTTCGGCTTTCTCCGCCTACATCAGGCCAGACGCGTCCGCTATCCTGGCTGCACAACGTCTACTGGCTTCCTCGTAAGCTCCCAGCAAAGCAATACGAAGCAAAGTAAGTGAAGCAATAAGATTCTGGTGGCGGCACGCACTTCTCAAACACTCTCCGCTGCCGCAGCGTCTGACGGAACGTGATGCGAGCGCTCACGTTCCCAGCGCGCAAAGATAACTCTGCCGCAGCGGCTGGTTGATTGTGATGCGAGCGCTCACGTCCCAGCGCTCAAAAATAACTCCGCTGCAACGTCCGGCTGATCACAGCATATAGCGATAGCGGCCACAGCATATAGCGATAGCGGTCACAGCATATAGCAAAAAATGGTTAGCGGTCACAGCATATACTGTAGCGATAGCGGTCACAGCATATAGCAAAAAATGGTTAGCGGTCACAGCATAGCAAAAAATGGTTAGCGGTCACAGCATATAGCAAAAAATGGTTAGCAGCATTGCGCTGGCGGTCACAGCATATAGCGATAGCGGTCACAGCATATAGCGATAGCGGTCACAGCATATAGCGATAGCGGTCACAGAATAGAGCAATCACGACGTCTGGCCCCTCCAAACCAGGCTTCGAAAACTCCATCAACACGCAGCCTTTTTGGGGATTGTGCGCGCTCCATCGCAGGAGCCTTTCCGATCTGAAGGCCGCACCGGGACCTAGGGCGCCAAACCTCCTTTCAATAAAATACTCAAAACTTCCTGTTTTCTCGTCTCTCCAAATTGAAATGCAGCCAGCGAAAATTCAATTTGGTAGACGTTAACCAAAATTACCCCCTCCAGGCCGGCTCGCATCCCCAGCCTATCGCTCAGCAGACGCCCCCTTCCAATCATCCGTACCGACTACGCCAGCCGCATAAAAACGGAGAAACTCCCACTCTCGGCCTCTGAAGCCTTGCAACCACCGCCTCCCCTCCTCCTCCTCTTCACCCTGCCTCCAATCTGCCTTAAATCTGCTTCCCGCTGCCAAATGCCGCCACCAGTGCCTAGGTCCCGGGGGATTGTGCGCGCTCCATCGCAGGAGCCTTTCCGATCTGAAGGCCGCACCGGGACCTAGGGCGCCAAACCTCCTTTCAATAAAATACTCAAAACTTCCTGTTTTCTCGTCTCTCCAAATTGAATTGCAGTTATGCCATAATATTTATAACTGTTATATAGAAATGTAATCGCTGCTGTACATTCTAGGCCCAAAACTAATAGTTATAAAAGAGAACATTTAATTACACTGTATAATTACAAGATATATACAGACGTAAGAGAAAATATTAAACCCCAAGTAGAGATGGCTGAGAGAGAGAGGACCCTGGAAGGCAGGCCTACCTGCTACATATTGCTCCAGGGCCTTCATAATGCTGTTTGGTGACCAATACACTAAACGTAGCTTTGACACCAGCACAGAACAGTTGTAATTACACTGTAATTTTCACTTCATCCATTATCCATAGAAGTGATTGATGCGTTAACAGGCTTGACCACTGCTATTTCATAATCCAGTAAAACCTAGAGGTGTGTGCTGCTCTGGTCATTGTCTGTCCTCGTAACTCTGCGAGTGACTCATCATGTTCACTCGTTAAGACGTCACTAATGACAATAGCACAAAGACTGTTACAATTACGTCTAAAGCTAAAATGTCTCAAATAATTAAGATCAATATATGTGATTACATGTACATGATCTAGTCCTTCTGTGATAAACATGATGTAAGATAATCAAGATCTGCTCAAAGGCAACTCATATTTATACAAGACTTTTTCATTCAATTAATTAAAGCCTCATTATGACTATTCAACATGGTACAAAACATATATATTTCAGAAAGTTCACTTCATTTTATATTTTTTGTTGTTGTCTAGCCTTATGTAAGTAGTAAGTAAGTAAGTAAGCTTTATTTATATACCGCCTTTTCACTGCACATCGGAGTCTCAAAGCGGTTTACAATTGTTATTTTTTGGGAGTGGGGGTGCCAGTACAGGAGGCACATGCCAGACCTATTGTACATATTTTTAGTCGTAGGGGAAACTGGAGCACCCGGAGGAAACCTACGCAGAAACGGGGAGAACATGCAAACTCCACTCAGAAAGGCCCTGGTCCAACCGGGATTCGAACCCTCTGCTGTTGTTATATCACAACAGCAGAGGACTTGTCAATTTGCCAACAACACATTAGTGATTCAAACAATTCAAACACAGGAAATGCAGTCCTCCTGCATCTGCGAGGTAAAACTCAGTGGGAGAAATTCAAATAATTTTTTTTTATTTTCCATTTCCGTGGAATAATCAAGTATGACGTTCTGCACTGTCTCTTTAAAGTCACACTATAACCAACAATAAATACAATCCAAGACTGAGTTATACATCACAGCTCATTCTTTATGGCTTTTCCTACCATCACCACAAAGCACTAATCACAGTTAAGCCCGGGGGTGAAATGTCTTGCCCAAGAACACCATTTTATTTACTTTTTCATTTATTTTTTTTATGCTCAGCTAAAGACATGAAGAACCACTAAACTACAGTATATGCTACATTAATAATAAAGAGTTATACGTATACCCCATTTTAATGTATTAACTAATTACATCTAATAACCAATACATAACCAAGTTGTGCATTTTGTATTGTTACTAAGCACGACTCAAACACCCATTGGTTCCTTTTGTTTTTCACTTAGAAACTTGTGATCTAGGAATGTCTAGCAAAAAAAAGTTTACTATTGCCTTGTGAGACACTCTACATTGTTACTGACTAAACTAAAAAACTAAAACATTAAATGGGATATAAAAATTTAGATTCTTCACAAAAGGCAGTTTTTTCCTTCGCATCATTCTTCGTATCATTTTTCACTGACACAGTGGTGTAATATTCAGAAAACAAAGAGGAAAACTGCACATGTATAATGTATTGTGTACTGTAACTCTAAGTTATAAAACATATAAACATCTTAAAGGAATAGTTCACCGTTTTTACATACTGACATATGTTCTTACCTTACCTTAGACTAGTTAATACGTACCTGTCTGGTCTTAGTCCGTGCGCTCTGTCATGCAAACGGAGCAAAAACGGGAGCACAACCGCAGCCTCCTCTGTATATTTTGTAGCACCAAAAGGTAGCTCCCGCTAGAAGCTACCAAACTCTTCCAAGTGTTCCCTATTAAATGTATATAGTTACGTGACGTGTTACACTGCAAAGTATAGTAACACAGAAATGTAACAGTCGATTTTCTCAGCGGATAAAACGGGTACTATATTGTGAGGCGTAGTAATCTGAGGGGCGCTACGTCCGCGCACTAACTTCTCTCCGGAGACTTCTCTCTCGCTCACTTCCGTCAATAGAAGCAGCGTGACTTGTAATACACACAGTAGCAGCGAGAGAGAAGTCTCCGGAGAGAAGTTAGTGCGCAGAGAAGTTAGGAGCGCTACGTCCGCGCACTAACTTCTCTCCGGAGACTTCTCTCTCGCTGCTACTGTGTGTATTACAAGTGTAATAGGCCAAGCCTGGCCCTTTAAGAGCGGGGCATTGTGGGATGTCTTGGGTCTGTGTAGTCCGTTGTTTACGCGCTCAACGCTCTGTTCTGCAGTGGCCTCTCTTCATTAAGGCTCCTCTGTCATGCTCCTGTTCTATTTTTGGAATAAAAATACGTCTAACGAGTACTACGCCTGTTCAGCCTCTGTACTACGGTTAAGAGATCACTGGGCAGGGGAAGAAAAGTAACACTGGGGGCTCGAGTCCGGGATCCGTCTTTGCAAGTCCGGAGAAAATACAGGGACCACGACGAGAAAATGGCGGCGCCTGTTTACCGTGAAAATGGCAATGCGGATTTTAAAACACGTTCGAAGGTAACAGAGCATAACAAGAGCACCAACCCGTTTTGGCCAGAGTTGGCAGAGACTGAAAGAGCTATGCTAAATATGATGGTTCGTAATAGAAACGAGATCAGCCCGGTTGTCAATAGCATGGAGCTATTAGCTGCGCAGAACGAGCACCGTGGGCCGACGCAGCAACAAGGGGCGTTATGGCCGCCCACACCGCCACCATCGGCACACACAAACCCCTTCCTGACCCCCGCGGACACGGTCGGTTGTCAATCTAGGACCGTCCATTATTCTGACGACTACAAATTAACCCCATTTGTGACAAAGAACGATGTGAATGAAAACACAGTTTTCCAGACTCTTCCTAAGCCCATTAACTGTGACTGTGTAGCCGGTTTGCCTACTCAACCCCACAGCGGGCCATTTTTTCTGCCAGATGCCGCCATCAGGTTTAGCGCTCCGGTTCTAAGTTCCAGCCTATACCCGTGCCTTCCTGGGAGGCCAAGTGTGAGTACCCATGAATGTGACCCAGGTCGTCCCAGTTATAAGCGGGCAAAGTCAGCGCCCCGCCGCCGGGTTGTGGAGGCATGCGCGGATAGCAGTGATGAAGAATGTTACAGGATTAAAGAGAGAATCCCTACTCTGCGACCCGGTAACTTTGATGGGACAGGTTCGTGGAAAGGCTTTATTTACCAGTTTGAAACATGTGCCAGAGCCAATCACTGGTCAGAAGAGACTAAAGCTATTCAACTCAGATTCAGTTTAAGTGGTGCTGCTGGCGCTATTGTCCACAAGAACCCCAACTCTGCTAACTGGAGCTATGAGCACATTGTGAAGGAAGTGGACGCTGCTTATGGGCCGCGGTCAGAGCACGCTGCAGCTGTTGGCATCGAGCTGAGGCAGAGAGTCAGGAAACAAGGTGAAACCATGCACACACTCCGAGACGACATCTATGAAAAGGTCGCTATTGTGTATGGTGACCGTACTGAACTGGAACAGGACTGTGTAGCTGTGGAGATTTTCACTAATGCGATGACCGACGCTGACATTATCCAAAAGCTCCTTGAAGAGAAGCCTCGTACACTCGCTTGTGCCTATGACATTGCCCACCGGTACGAGACCACAAAGAGAGCAGCCAGGGCCGTAACACAGATGATGCGTCCAGGGCTGGGTCCCCGCGGCTCGGCAGCAAGAGCGGCTGTGGTATTGGAGGATGCTCCAGCCTCTGAATGCGATCAACCAAGGTGCGCTCCTGTTACGTCCGCCCAGCACACACACAGGGCGCTAAAAGCTCGTCAACAACATCCAAATAAGACTATGACCAGCAAAATGACCTCACAGGAGGTCGTTTGTCACAACTGCTCCGGCGTGGGGCATATCCAGAAGCAATGTCCCTCTCCACGCCGCCCCCAGCAAAGACAAGTTAGTTTAATTCCTAACCCATCGTCTGACACTGGTGCAGTAATTGTATGCAGTAAAAGCCAAGAAGAAGATATGTGTGTTCAGATTATGATACACGGACTAAGACTTAGCGCTCTGTTGGATTCTGGAGCGAGACGAAACGTGCTGCCCCTACACCATTTCAACTCTCTGCCAACCCAGTCCAGGCCGCCTGGTACAGCCATCCATCGCCAAGGTTCTGCAGGGAATAGGGCCTGAAGGTTTATCTATCCTGGGTGAAGTTGTCTTGCCTGTCTTCGTGGGGAGCAGAACAACGGATGTAAATTTCATTATGGCCGACACCGCCCGAAGCACCGAGGTCATCCTGGGACATCCCTTCCTGCGTCAGTCCAATGCATGCCTGGACTACGGCCGCCGAGAGATATCCCTCTTCAACGTAAAAGTTCCACGCTACGACCCCAATTACCAGCCTGCTGCCGCCCATGTCGTCCGGATTGCCCGCACCACTGTCCTGGAACCTGGTCGTGAGTATGTGGTACCTGGGTCCGCCAGCCTCCGCTCTCAAACCGGTGGCGACCTGATGCTCAGTCCAACCAAGGCCTTTATCGAGAAACACTGTGTCCTGGTGGCCCATGCGGTCGTCCAACCACTAAAGTCCGCCGGCATTCCCATCCGAGTCTTCAACCCTGGGTCTACGCCTGTCACCCTGAAGAGAGGAACCGTGGCCGGTGTCCTCCAGCCTGCCGAGGTGGTGGCCACCCTTGAGTCGGCGCCAACCTTGCCCCCGTCTAAGCCGGGGCCCATTAACTCTGTTTCTGTCCCTTCCCACTTGCAGGTCATGTATGGTGAGAGCTGCTCCATCTTGTCAGAGGGTGACGGCAACAAACTCGCCCATCTGCTACATTCCTACGCCGATATCTTCTCTACTGGCCCTACTGACCTCGGCCGCACCAACATCGTGCAACATGACATCCAGACCCTGCCAGGGCCTCCAGTCAAGCAGCCTCCACGCAGAATGGCCGCCGACAAGCAGCTCGCCGCCGACCAGCAGCTTCAACAGAGTCTCGACGCGGGTGTTGCTCAACCGAGTAACAGTAGCTGGGCAGCGCCAATCGTAGTGGTGAAGAAAAAGGACAAGTCTCCCAGGCTGTGTGTGGACTACAGACCGCTGAACGGAAGGACCATCAAGGATGCGTATCCACTGCCGCGTATCCAGGACACTCTTGACACACTGTCTACTGCCAGGTATTTTAGCACACTTGACTTAACTTCAGGGTACTGGCAGGTAGAGATGACCCCTCGGGCCCGTAAAGCTGCAGCTTTCTGTACACGCAAGGGACTTTTCGAGTGGAATGTGATGCCGTTTGGGCTTTGCAACGCCCCGGCCACTTTCCAAAGACTTATGGACCGGGTGTTAGCTGGGTTGCAGTGGCAGACCTGTCTAGTGTACTTGGATGACATAGTGGTTCTGGGAAAGGACACTCCAGAGATGTTAGAGCGACTGGAGCAGGTTTTTAGCAGACTGCGTCAGGCCAACCTGAAACTTAAACCGTCCAAGTGCTGCCTTTTTCGCGAGGAGGTGGCCTACCTTGGTCACATTGTGTCCGCCCATGGCATCGCCACCGATCCCGAAAAGACTGAGAAAGTAAGAAACTGGCCCACCCCTAGAAATGTGTCCGAAGTTAGACAGTTTGTAGGCCTAGCTTCTTACTACCGGCGCTTTGTCCCGGACTTTGCTACTATAGCTAAACCATTGCATGAACTGACTAAGAAATACGCCCGCTTTAGCTGGACTGCCCATTGCCAAGGGGCATTTGACGAACTAAAAAGGCTGTTAACATCAGCTCCAGTCCTGGGCTACCCCCTCGACAAAGGGGAAATGTTTCTTGACACCGACGCTAGTGACTGTGGGATTGGAGCAGTCCTCTCTCAAGTGCAGGGGGGTGAGGAAAGGGTGTTAGCCTATGGGAGTAGGCGACTGTCAGCTACAGAACAAAACTACTGTACCACACGTAGGGAGCTACTGGCAGTTGTGGACTTCACTTCCCACTTTAGGCAGTACTTACTCGGCCGTCCCTTCACTGTCCGGACTGACCATAGCAGCCTCCGCTGGCTCACTAGACTGAGAGAACCTGAAGGTCAGTTAGCGCGTTGGTTAGAAAAGCTAGCCGAGTATGACTTTATGGTTATCCACCGCCCTGGCAAGGTCCACCAAAATGCAGATGCGCTATCCAGACGGCCATGCCAGGCATCCTGTCCTTGTACTATAAAAGTCCCAGAGCTTAACCGTGACCGTTACGCAGACAAAGCAGTGCAGTGTGACCCATCTGACCACTCTACCTTAGCTGAGCCTTTCACTTCCACCCCAGGGCAGGTTTTAGTGGGGGTAGTGGGGCCTAACCCTGAGCTTCCCTTAGTGGGGGTGGGCGACTTAAACAGCCGTGACACAGTCTATCCAAGTGTCCACAGTGTGAATGAGACACAACAGACTTTGTTTCAGGGCTGGACCGTAGAGCAGCTCACCACAGCTCAAAAGACAGATCCTGACATTGCGCCGGTTTGGCAGTGGGTAGATAGCGGGTGTAGCCGCCCGCCATGGTCCACCATTGCTCCCTACAGTCCAGCCACAAAGGCCTACTGGTCACAGTGGAAAAGACTTTACATGAAAGATGGGGTATTGATGAGAAAGTTCTTCTCTTCCGAAGGCCAGACATTTTTCCCTCAAGTCCTCCTGCCCCACGCATTACGTAAAGCAGTTATGGAGCAGATGCACGATGGTCCAGTTGGGGGCCATTTTGGGGGGGAAAGGACTCTAGCTCGTGTTAAAACCAGGTACTTTTGGTATAATATGAGAGACGATGTGACATTGTGGTGCCGCACGTGCACCAGATGCGCTGCCAAGGCCCGTCCAAAGAAGACGCCACAAGCTGCTATGGGCACCGTGCGGGTCGGGGCACCTATGGAGAGAATCGCAGTTGACCTTATGGGACCTTTAAATGAGACTGACAGACATAATCGCTTCATTTTAGTTGTGCAGGACTATTTCAGTAAATGGGTTGAGGCTTATCCGGTTTCCAATGAGCAGGCATTAACGGTAGCTGAAAAGATTGTCTCAGAGTGGGTATGCAGGTACGGGGCCCCTTACACATTACACAGTGACCAGGGCACAAATTTTGAGTCTGCTGTCTTCCAGGGCATGTGTGAACTGTTGGGCATTGAAAAGACTCGTACAACCCCCTTTCACCCACAGTCAGATGGGCAGGTGGAGCGCTTTAACGCCACTCTACAGAAAACACTCGCAGCTACTGCAGAAAGGTGCCATTGGGACTAGGGATGTAAAAAACTATGAATTTTCATGACCGACCACCGAGCCTCATTAACCGGTTGAAACCGGTTAACCGCGTAGTTTAAAATAGTCCACGTTCTTTGAAATAACAGCCATTTCGAGCCGCGTACTTTTCATAAGTGCAGCTCTGAGTTCTACTGGATCAGAGCCGAGACAGCGGCGCCCAAACCCGCAACAGCTCCGGCACCTTTGCGCACAGAGAACTCCTTTTTTAATCTTCCCATTCTGCTGTGCTGCGGGTTAATACCAAAACTTTCTAGCAGCAAACGACGGCTCGTTCACATGGTCAGAGCAGCGAGTGACGCGTCTCACAGGTCTTCACAAAAGTTTAAATACAAGTGATGTGTGTGGAGCTGATCCCGAGGACCATAAACACAAACATGTTTCCCCTACAGCAAAACATGTAGGGGAAATACGCGACTCCCAAAAGGAGCCGCGTATTTGCGCGGATCCTTTGGGCTCCGTGACACAGAGGAGCGCGACAGACCGGTATGTGTATGTGTATGTATGTGTGTGTGTATGTGTGTGTGTATGTATATGTGTGTGTGTGTAAATGTAAGCTCCAATGTAGTTCTGACCCGCGCCAGTGTGCAACTTTGACGGTAAAAGAGGGGAGAGATGATGCGTGTGGATGTTACGCATGGAGAGGGGGAAAGTGTGTGTGTGTGTGTGGCGCGCGCGTGCGTGTGTGCATATGTGGCTCGTGCGGCGTGAGAGTCGTCCCGGAGTTTATAATACATGGGCGCATACAGCTAGATACAGACCCGCTCGTCACACCGTGCAAATAGGGCTTAAAATAGCGTTATTAAGAGACCTCCCCTCTCCCCTTTTTCTCTTTTTTAACCGACAGCTTTGACCGGTTAACGCTGTGACGGTCAACCACCGGTTAACCGGTCGCCGATTTACATCCCTAATTGGGACTGGGATTTAATGCTTCCCTATGCAGTCATGGCTTATCGAGCTACCAAACATAGCTCCACCGGACTTACCCCAAACATGATGTTGTTTGGCAGGGAAATCACTGAGCCCATCGACTTAGTGGTTGGGCTCCCCCCAAATGACACTAATTCTAGCTTGAAACCTGACTATGTCGTAAATCTCCGAGAGCAACTGGAGCGCTCGCACCAACTTGCACGAGAGGCTCTGGGAAAGGCCTCTGAAAGAGCAAAGAGACAGTATGACAAGAACATTTGCCAAACTCAGTACCTGGTCGGTTCTGCGGTGTGGTACCTGGTCAAAGGCACCAAACGAGTAAGACACAAGGTCCGCAAGTTCCTGCCGTCCTACGAGGGCCCTTACTTTATCGTGGGTCAGCTGGACGACTTGGTGTACCAGATCCAGAAAGGTCCAAGGGCAAAGATTAAAGTTGTGCACCACGACAAGCTCAAACCTTTCCATTCCAGAGCCCTGCTCGACAACAGCTGGGTTTTCCAGAGAAACGACACACCAACACCACTGGAGGTGTCTCCCCCTGTGTCTGATGTGGACTCTGACACGGACTTCGGCCCTCTTCAGCTGTGGGACACTACTTCCGAGGATACCCCTTCAGACACCAGAGACACTACCTCTGACTTCGAGAATACCCCGGCCGCCGCCAGAGAGGTTGCTGGTCCTTCATCACCTGGCCCTCAACCACCTGCCAGCCCCACACAGCCTCAGTGGGATGAGGTTGGCACTCGGCATACATCGCAGAGCGTGAGACGGCGTCACCGTTCGATCTCTGCCCCTCTGTCCAGGTCGCAGAGGACACGGAGAGCACCTGATAAGTTTGGTGACTGGCTTAGTCACTAGTCTCTGCAACAAGTGTTTTATCCCCGAGTCAGATTCCTGCCTAATCGGAGTAGATAAATAAAATGGTTTACTGTTATGTTAAAAATGTTGGAGGCTTACTACATGTTGTTTAGTACATGCCATTTTTGCACTGTTTGTCGGTTATGTGTGCACATTGAGTTTATATATACAAGTGCCTTGCAGGTTAAAGGAGTAATGACTGTTTAAATGGGGATTTTATGAGCTGAGCTAAGGCAGGACATTCCAATTCGAGCTATGCACTTCACCCCATACCTACCTTTCTACCTGGACTCCTCCAAGCGATGTACATGAGGTTTAACGTATGTCACCTTTGCCAGAGTTCCCCATCAGTACTTGACTATGGTTTGCAAAGACTGTGGGCTTGGAACATTACCACTAGGGTGGAGTGTTTGATTATAATTTCATAATGTGCATTATTTTGTGCTGGAGTGATATAAAAGTTTTTATTTATCATCCATAGTGGGGGTAGTGTAATAGGCCAAGCCTGGCCCTTTAAGAGCGGGGCATTGTGGGATGTCTTGGGTCTGTGTAGTCCGTTGTTTACGCGCTCAACGCTCTGTTCTGCAGTGGCCTCTCTTCATTAAGGCTCCTCTGTCATGCTCCTGTTCTATTTTTGGAATAAAAATACGTCTAACGAGTACTACGCCTGTTCAGCCTCTGTACTACGGTTAAGAGATCACTGGGCAGGGGAAGAAAAGTAACACAAGTCACGCTGCTTCTATTGACGGAAGTGAGCGAGAGAGAAGTCTCCGGAGAGAAGTTAGTGCGCGGACGTAGCGCCCCTCAGATTACTACGCCTCACAATATAGTACCCGTTTTATCCGCTGAGAAAATCGACTGTTACATTTCTGTGTTACTATACTTTGCAGTGTAACACGTCACGTAACTATATACATTTAATAGGGAACACTTGGAAGAGTTTGGTAGCTTCTAGCGGGAGCTACCTTTTGGTGCTACAAAATATACAAAGGAGGCTGCGGTTGTGCTCCCGTTTTTGCTCCGTTTGCATGACAGAGCGCACGGACTAAGACCAGACAGGTACGTATTAACTAGTCTAAGGTAAGGTAAGAACATTTGTCAGTATGTAAAAACGGTGAACTATTCCTTTAAAAAGCATTTTGACAAAACATTGCATCAGGAAATGGGTTACAATGAATCCTTTTGGAACAGTGCCGGTCTTCAAGCCACCACTATGTTATCTGTGTATTACATTTCATTCATTATAATAGAGAAAATAAATGTGATCCCAAAGGAGGTCATTTGGCATAAAAGCAGATTGCGATCAGTATGGAATTCAACACATGTTATTGTGTTCATTCAAACTTATTGTTTGTGTAGTACAACGTTTGTAGTAAAACTGTTTCTACATGTAACACATATGTTCAGCCCCACATTTCATCATTATTTATGTAACCATGCATAGTTTCTTTATCCCATTGAGGTCAGAGTTCACTCCTGCAGTCAAACCAAACCTAATAAAAAACAGTATTAAAAATGTACTTTAGAATGTACAGTAGGTTGTTCTTAAAGGTGCAGTAAAGGATTCAGGTTAGCTTAGCCTTAGCATCCGAGTAGCACCGAGTCAAAACCCACTCCCCCTGCCCTCAACCAAACCCAACTCCCAGCACACCTGAAAATCTTTTCTGTAAAAACGCAGTCTGTGACGAAGCCTCCCAGCTTGAAATGTGAAAGCATTACACTATATTAGGGCTCATGTCTGTGAGCGATTTGCCTGCCATACTTGACAAGCGCTAGCTTCTGAACAAACTAGCAATTAGCAAAAAGTGTTATCAGTATGAATCATTGAATGCTTCTTTAAAAGTACTCAGTAATTTTTACAGTTGTTCCAAATGAGAAAAAAATATGTTAACCAAACCTTTCTGATAATATTCACGTCCACCATAACTTTGTTGGCTTAGAATTTTACATATACATATGCATGAGCAGTGAGCACTGGAAGACGCTACTTGTTGATGCGCCATCTTGAAATACATTGGTTTATGAGTGATAAGAACAGAGTTGCTTACGTGCCCTGACAAGTTTGAAGAAGGAACCAGGGAGGACCACAGTTGCAGCCCTAAGGTCTCTATGCACGCACCACTTCCGTGTTTTAGCTTCAACCCCACTTCACTTCCTGTGCGCGGGAAACGGCTTGTGTTTCACTGGAGTTCAGCAGTGGTTTACACGAGTTTCCCAAATAATGCTCAAACGGGAATTAAACTGTGAGGATACTGGGCAATTTTGGGACACAGCAATGCTCTTTGATTGTGCTTTTGTTGTGTTTTTATAAAGTTTACAAATCTCTCTGAGTGGCCACAGTCAAAGCTCTACTTCAGAGAGAAAGCACAGCGACACTTTTGGGTTAGTCTCACAGCTGAATGTATCAATCTAATTAATATAAAACGTCACTAAAACCCACCTAAAAGCCATAGGATAGCATAGGCAGGAAGTGAACGGGCTGTGCTTTGTTAACAGGAAATGACGTCGCGCATATAAGACATCATATAACATGAGTATCTACTCACGGAGCATGAATTTATTATATTATTAACCGGTACTTCCGCATCGGCGAACAAGCTGGCAGCACTAGTGACAGTACAATGTCAACGCAGGTGTTAACAAGCACTGCGTCCCCCATTGGTTTTTATCCTGTTTAGCTCTTGTTTTGGTTGTTTTCGAGTGTCTTTATCTTCCTGTTTGACCGGCGAGTGTCCTTGTGACCACTTTGCTGCTCTCTGATTGATTGCCGCACGTGTGTGGAGTTGCCTTACCCATGTGAGATCAAAAAAGTCTATCATATATTATCTTATCTTAAATTGTTGATGGATTCCTGGTTCTATACTGGAAGTGGACCACAGTAAGTATTGCTTTTGTGGTGACTTATTGGTATCCCATTATATTTCATATGGTTCTACTGTATAAATGAATACATGCAAACACACTTTGTATGAAATATATATTATAGACTTCAATAGTAGACTGAAACATTAACTGCATTCTCTGCTTGTTGTTGTACATGGCATCAAGGAAGTCACTTTCTGTTTACCCACAGGTCACATGGATATTCCAACGTCTAACAACCAAATGCTATTTTTAGACTCACTCACGCACGTCTACTTTTAGCTCGATCTTTATCTTAATATAGACACAGGGGGAAAAGAAAAAATCTTCCAACAGTAAACATGCAGCAAGAACGGAACTTAAGACTGGAAGATTTGTAGACATGGTTCTCTGTCCTCCTCTACTACACACATACAGTACATAATTTAGGCCCTGTGAAGGTCACAAGCTCCTAATCGCAACAGAATTTCTGCTGGGTCTAATTGCCAAATCTTAAGGAAACACACTTTGTATAAAATATATATAGTTAAAGACTTCAATAGTAGATGAAACATTAACTGGCATTCTCTGCTTGTTGTTGTGACCCAAATAAAATATGCTATATTAAAGATCTTTATCTTAATATAGGACACGGGGAAAAGTAGACATGGTTCTCTGTCCAGGGGACGACAGTATCTCAGTTGGTAAAGCATTGGCCTTTGGGCCTGGAGGTCGTGAGTTCGATTCCCACCATGGGACCTACTCCAAATGCTCCACTGATGACTGCTGCCGTTGTGTCTTGGGCAAGAACACTTAACCCCACATTGCCTGAAGCCCCCCGCTGAAAAGATCAAGGCTGTTTCACAACTGACGGAGCAGCCATCTTCCTTTGGACTCACCACCTGCAGAAGATCAGTGAGGGATGGTGCTATGAGCGTTGGGTGGCAGCTCTCATAGCCACCCCCCCCGATCCAGAAATGGACAAAGGGGTTGAAAATGAAATGAAATGAAAAACTGAAATGGTTCTCATGTCCTTCCTCTACTACACACATACCATAGTTTAGGCCCTGTGAAGGTCACAAGCTCCTAATCTCAACAGAATTTCTGCTGGGGTCTATCGCCAAATCTTAAGGAAAATTCCTTGCAAACATAGCATTAGCAATACATAATGAATAAAATGTAATAGCAATAAATATAATGCAATCTTTGTCTGAAGTCTTTCCAGATTGAATGTCTACTATGCATGTAGTTTTCTGTAGTCTGGTCCATCAACAACAATGAGACAGTTCTATGTGAAATGTAACATTTCATTCAAATTGTTTACTGTTCATTAAAATGTGAGCTATCAATTTGATTAGTGGAGAAACAAAAAATGCTTTGACATTATTGTCTTATCTGTGATATTTCAGACATGATTCATTCACTCTGTACCTGGAGGCCATAGTAGCTGCCCTCAGCCAGAAATGACGAAAATGATGACTCTGAGCCGTTGTGTCGCCTCTGACCTCGTCGCCTACGACTGATGCACACGTCACTTTTTCGACAAAGTGGATGAGTGTTTTGCTTAAGTAAGTAAGTAAGATCTAATTAATCTGTATTGATATACCGCCTTTCACAGATAATGTATGCCTTTAGAATTATACTTGATATACTTTTAATCATTTAAATATTTTATTCACAATGGCATCAACATTATCACATGGATTAATGGCAACATTTTATGAACAAGTGTGCATGTCTGTGGTGGCACATTAGTCCACCGCCACACATTGTTTCTTAATAAAATATAATTTTCAGCGTATACGCACAGGTATTTCCTACATCATTTGGGTTATTCTGGTGTCACAGATCTTTCCACAACCTCAACCTTTATGGAACATAGGGAAATAATTGTTATACTTGTTTAAGTGTAATAAATTTAAATGATACAGGCCTGTTCTAGGTCTGAGTATCTTTCAAATCTGGCAGAATAAATTTGATATGTATACAATTAAATAAAAAAGTAATGGCTTTTGGTCATACATTTAAAACAATTGTTACATAAACATCCGTCACTTGTTTGATCAGATATGTCAAGCAACAGTCCACCATTTACAGTACAATGCTATTTGTTCCCAAGGCATTTGGAGCAAAAAAAACGGGTCATGAAACATACACAATGTTGAAAATGTTTGGTTGATAGGTCCCTCTTCGACCCAAAGGTGACATTGAAGAGACTATTGTCAGTCTGGAGTCATTTGATAGCCTTATGCACCAGATTCTGTTATTCATATGGAGCACAGTTAACAGACATAATGCTTCATTTTAGTTGTGCAAGAACTAATTTCAGTAAATGGGGTGAGGCTTATCCGGTTCCATGAGCAGGCATTAACCGGGTAAGCTGAAAAGATTGTCTCAGGAGTGGCGTATTGCAGGTACCGGGGGCCCCTTACACATTACACAGTGACCAGGGCACAAATTTTGAGTCAGCGGTCTTCCAGGGCTATGTGTGAACTGTTGGGCATTGAAAAGACTCTTTACAACCCCCTTTCACCCACAGTCAGATGGGCAGGTGGTGCGCTTTAAAACGCCACTTACAGAAAAACACTCGCAAGCTACGCAGAAAGGTGCCATTACTAGGATGTAAAAAACTATGAATTTTCATGACCGACCACCGGAGCCTCATTAACCGGTTGAAACCGGTTAACCGCGTAGTTTAAAATAGTCCACGTTCTTTGAAAAAACAGCTGATCCCGAGGACCATAAACACAAACATGTTTCCCCTACAGCAAAACATGTAGGGGAAATACGCGACTCCCAAAAGGAGCCGCGTATTTGCGCGGATCCTTTGGGCTCCGTGACACAGAGGAGCGCGACAGACCGGTATGTGTATGTGTATGTATGTGTGTGTGTATGTGTGTGTGTATGTATATGTGTGTGTGTGTAAATGTAAGCTCCAATGTAGTTCTGACCCGCGCGCCAGTGTGCAACTTTGACGGTAAAAGAGGGGAGAGATGATGCGTGTGGATGTTACGCATGGAGAGGGGGAAAGTGTGTGTGTGTGTGTGCGCGCGCGTGCGTGTGTGCATATGTGGCTCGTGCGGCGTGAGAGTCGTCCCGGAGTTTATAATACATGGGCGCATACAGCTAGATACAGACCCGCTCGTCACACCGTGCAAATAGGGCTTAAAATAGCGTTATTAAGAGACCTCCCCTCTCCCCTTTTTCTCTTTTTTAACCGACAGCTTTGACCGGTTAACGCTGTGACGGTCAACCACCGGTTAACCGGTCGCCGATTTACATCCCTAATTGGGACTGGGATTTAATGCTTCCCTATGCAGTCATGGCTTATCGAGCTACCAAACATAGCTCCACCGGACTTACCCCAAACATGATGTTGTTTGGCAGGGAAATCACTGAGCCCATCGACTTAGTGGTTGGGCTCCCCCCAAATGACACTAATTCTAGCTTGAAACCTGACTATGTCGTAAATCTCCGAGAGCAACTGGAGCGCTCGCACCAACTTGCACGAGAGGCTCTGGGAAAGGCCTCTGAAAGAGCAAAGAGACAGTATGACAAGAACATTTGCCAAACTCAGTACCTGGTCGGTTCTGCGGTGTGGTACCTGGTCAAAGGCACCAAACGAGTAAGACACAAGGTCCGCAAGTTCCTGCCGTCCTACGAGGGCCCTTACTTTATCGTGGGTCAGCTGGACGACTTGGTGTACCAGATCCAGAAAGGTCCAAGGGCAAAGATTAAAGTTGTGCACCACGACAAGCTCAAACCTTTCCATTCCAGAGCCCTGCTCGACAACAGCTGGGTTTTCCAGAGAAACGACACACCAACACCACTGGAGGTGTCTCCCCCTGTGTCTGATGTGGACTCTGACACGGACTTCGGCCCTCTTCAGCTGTGGGACACTACTTCCGAGGATACCCCTTCAGACACCAGAGACACTACCTCTGACTTCGAGAATACCCCGGCCGCCGCCAGAGAGGTTGCTGGTCCTTCATCACCTGGCCCTCAACCACCTGCCAGCCCCACACAGCCTCAGTGGGATGAGGTTGGCACTCGGCATACATCGCAGAGCGTGAGACGGCGTCACCGTTCGATCTCTGCCCCTCTGTCCAGGTCGCAGAGGACACGGAGAGCACCTGATAAGTTTGGTGACTGGCTTAGTCACTAGTCTCTGCAACAAGTGTTTTATCCCCGAGTCAGATTCCTGCCTAATCGGAGTAGATAAATAAAATGGTTTACTGTTATGTTAAAAATGTTGGAGGCTTACTACATGTTGTTTAGTACATGCCATTTTTGCACTGTTTGTCGGTTATGTGTGCACATTGAGTTTATATATACAAGTGCCTTGCAGGTTAAAGGAGTAATGACTGTTTAAATGGGGATTTTATGAGCTGAGCTAAGGCAGGACATTCCAATTCGAGCTATGCACTTCACCCCATACCTACCTTTCTACCTGGACTCCTCCAAGCGATGTACATGAGGTTTAACGTATGTCACCTTTGCCAGAGTTCCCCATCAGTACTTGACTATGGTTTGCAAAGACTGTGGGCTTGGAACATTACCACTAGGGTGGAGTGTTTGATTATAATTTCATAATGTGCATTATTTTGTGCTGGAGTGATATAAAAGTTTTTATTTATCATCCATAGTGGGGGTAGTGTAATAGGCCAAGCCTGGCCCTTTAAGAGCGGGGCATTGTGGGATGTCTTGGGTCTGTGTAGTCCGTTGTTTACGCGCTCAACGCTCTGTTCTGCAGTGGCCTCTCTTCATTAAGGCTCCTCTGTCATGCTCCTGTTCTATTTTTGGAATAAAAATACGTCTAACGAGTACTACGCCTGTTCAGCCTCTGTACTACGGTTAAGAGATCACTGGGCAGGGGAAGAAAAGTAACACAAGTCACGCTGCTTCTATTGACGGAAGTGAGCGAGAGAGAAGTCTCCGGAGGAGAAGTTAGTGCGCGGACGTAGCGCCCCTCAGATTACTACGCCTCACAATATAGTACCCGTTTTATCCGCTGAGAAAATCGACTGTTACATTTCTGTGTTACTATACTTTGCAGTGTAACACGTCACGTAACTATATACATTTAATAGGGAACACTTGGAAGAGTTTGGTAGCTTCTAGCGGGAGCTACCTTTTGGTGCTACAAAATATACAAAGGAGGCTGCGGTTGTGCTCCCGTTTTTGCTCCGTTTGCATGACAGAGCGCACGGACTAAGACCAGACAGGTACGTATTAACTAGTCTAAGGTAAGGTAAGAACATTTGTCAGTATGTAAAAACGGTGAACTATTCCTTTAAAAAGCATTTTGACAAAACATTGCATCAGGAAATGGGTTACAATGAATCCTTTTGGAACAGTGCCGGTCTTCAAGCCACCACTATGTTATCTGTGTATTACATTTCATTCATTATAATAGAGAAAATAAATGTGATCCCAAAGGAGGTCATTTGGCATAAAAGCAGATTGCGATCAGTATGGAATTCAACACATGTTATTGTGTTCATTCAAACTTATTGTTTGTGTAGTACAACGTTTGTAGTAAAACTGTTTCTACATGTAACACATATGTTCAGCCCCACATTTCATCATTATTTATGTAACCATGCATAGTTTCTTTATCCCATTGAGGTCAGAGTTCACTCCTGCAGTCAAACCAAACCTAATAAAAAACAGTATTAAAAATGTACTTTAGAATGTACAGTAGGTTGTTCTTAAAGGTGCAGTAAAGGATTCAGGTTAGCTTAGCCTTAGCATCCGAGTAGCACCGAGTCAAAACCACTCCCCCTGCCCTCAACCAAACCCAACTCCCAGCACACCTGAAAATCTTTTCTGTAAAAACGCAGTCTGTGACGAAGCCTCCCAGCTTGAAATGTGAAAGCATTACACTATATTAGGGCTCATGTCTGTGAGCGATTTGCCTGCCATACTTGACAAGCGCTAGCTTCTGAACAAACTAGCAATTAGCAAAAAGTGTTATCAGTATGAATCATTGAATGCTTCTTTAAAAGTACTCAGTAATTTTTACAGTTGTTCCAAATGAGAAAAAAATATGTTAACCAAACCTTTCTGATAATATTCACGTCCACCATAACTTTGTTGGCTTAGAATTTTACATATACATATGCATGAGCAGTGAGCACTGGAAGACGCTACTTGTTGATGCGCCATCTTGAAATACATTGGTTTATGAGTGATAAGAACAGAGTTGCTTACGTGCCCTGACAAGTTTGAAGAAGGAACCAGGGAGGACCACAGTTGCAGCCCTAAGGTCTCTATGCACGCACCACTTCCGTGTTTTAGCTTCAACCCCACTTCACTTCCTGTGCGCGGGAAACGGCTTGTGTTTCACTGGAGTTCAGCAGTGGTTTACACGAGTTTCCCAAATAATGCTCAAACGGGAATTAAACTGTGAGGATACTGGGCAATTTTGGGACACAGCAATGCTCTTTGATTGTGCTTTTGTTGTGTTTTTATAAAGTTTACAAATCTCTCTGAGTGGCCACAGTCAAAGCTCTACTTCAGAGAGAAAGCACAGCGACACTTTTGGGTTAGTCTCACAGCTGAATGTATCAATCTAATTAATATAAAACGTCACTAAAACCCACCTAAAAGCCATAGGATAGCATAGGCAGGAAGTGAACGGGCTGTGCTTTGTTAACAGGAAATGACGTCGCGCATATAAGACATCATATAACATGAGTATCTACTCACGGAGCATGAATTTATTATATTATTAACCGGTACTTCCGCATCGGCGAACAAGCTGGCAGCACTAGTGACAGTACAATGTCAACGCAGGTGTTAACAAGCACTGCGTCCCCCATTGGTTTTTATCCTGTTTAGCTCTTGTTTTGGTTGTTTTCGAGTGTCTTTATCTTCCTGTTTGACCGGCGAGTGTCCTTGTGACCACTTTGCTGCTCTCTGATTGATTGCCGCACGTGTGTGGAGTTGCCTTACCCATGTGAGATCAAAAAAGTCTATCATATATTATCTTATCTTAAATTGTTGATGGATTCCTGGTTCTATACTGGAAGTGGACCACAGTAAGTATTGCTTTTGTGGTGACTTATTGGTATCCCATTATATTTCATATGGTTCTACTGTATAAATGAATACATGCAAACACACTTTGTATGAAATATATATTATAGACTTCAATAGTAGACTGAAACATTAACTGCATTCTCTGCTTGTTGTTGTACATGGCATCAAGGAAGTCACTTTCTGTTTACCCACAGGTCACATGGATATTCCAACGTCTAACAACCAAATGCTATTTTTAGACTCACTCACGCACGTCTACTTTTAGCTCGATCTTTATCTTAATATAGACACAGGGGGAAAAGAAAAAATCTTCCAACAGTAAACATGCAGCAAGAACGGAACTTAAGACTGGAAGATTTGTAGACATGGTTCTCTGTCCTCCCTCTACTACACACATACAGTACATAATTTAGGCCCTGTGAAGGTCACAAGCTCCTAATCGCAACAGAATTTCTGCTGGGGTCTAATTGCCAAATCTTAAGGAAACACACTTTGTATAAAATATATATTAAAGACTTCAATAGTAGACTGAAACATTAACTGCATTCTCTGCTTGTTGTTGTACATGGCATCAAGGAAGTCACTTTCTGTTGACCCACAGGTCACATGGATATTCCAACGTCTAACAACCAAATGCTATTTTTAGACTCACTCACGCATACTTTTAGCTCGATCTTTATCTTAATATAGACACGGGGAAAAGCAAACATCTTCCTACAGTAAACATGCAGCAAGAACGGAACTTAAGACTGAAAGATTTGTAGACATGGTTCTCTGTCCAGGGACGACAGTATCTCAGTTGGTAAAGCATTGGCCTTTGGGCCTGGAGGTCGTGAGTTCGATTCCCACCATGGGACCTACTCCAACTGCTCCCACTGATGACTGCTGCCGTTGTGTCCTTGGGCAAGACACTTAACCCCACATTGCCTGAAGCCCCCCGCTGAAAGATCAAGGCTGTTTCACAACTGACGGAGCAGCCATCTTCCTTTGGACTCACCACCTGCAGAAGATCAGTGAGGGACTGGTGCTATGAGCGTTGGGTGGCAGCTCTCATAGCCACCCCCCCCGATCCAGAAATGGACAAAGGGGTTGAAAATGAAATGAAATGAAAAACTGAAATGGTTCTCTGTCCTTCCTCTACTACACACATACATAGTTTAGGCCCTGTGAAGGTCACAAGCTCCTAATCTCAACAGAATTTCTGCTGGGGTCTAATCGCCAAATCTTAAGGAAAATTCCTTGCAAACATAGCATTAGCAATACATAATGAATAAAATGTAATAGCAATAAATATAATGCAATCTTTGTCTGAAGTCTTTCCAGATTGAATGTCTACTATGTAGTTTTCTGTAGTCTGTCCATCAACAACAATGAGACAGTTCTATGTGAAATGTAACATTTCATCAAATTGTTTACTGTTCATTAAAATGTGAGCTATCAATTTGATTAGTGGAGAAACAAAAAATGCTTTGACATTATTGTCTTATCTGATATTTCAGACATGATTCATTCACTCTGTACCTGGAGGCCATAGTAGCTGCCCTCAGCCAGAATGACGAAAATGAGACTCTGAGCCGTTGTGTCGCCTCTGACCTCGTCCGCCTACGACTGATGCACACGTCACTTTTTCGACAAAGTGGATGAAGTGTTTTGCTTAAGTAAGTAAGTAAGTAATTAATCTTTATTGATATACCGCCTTTCACAGATAATGTATGCCTTTAGAATTATACTTTGATATACTTTTAAATCATTTAAATATTTTATTCACAATGGCATCAACATTATCACATGGATTAATGGCAACATTTTATGAACAAGTGTGCATTCTGTGGTGGCACATTAGTCCACCCACACATTGTTTCTTTAATAAAATATAATTTTCAGCCGTATACGCACAGGTATTTCCTACATCATTTGGTTATTCTGGTGTCACAGATCTTTCCACAACCTCAACCTTTATGGAACATAGGGAAATAATTGTATACTTGTTTAAGTGTAATAATTTAAATGATACAGGCCTGTTCTAGGTCTGAGTATCTTTCAAATCTGGCAGAATAAATTTGATATGTATACAATTAAATAAAAAGTAATGGCTTTTGGTCATACATTTAAAACAATTGTTACAATAAACATCCGTCACTTGTTTGACTCAGATATGTCAAGCAACAGTCACCATTTACAGTACAATGCCTATTTGTTCCCAAGGCATTTTGAGCAAAAAAACGGGTCATGAAACATACACAATGTTGAAATGTTTGGTTGATAGGTCCCTCTTCGCCCAAAGGTGACATTGAAAGACTAGTCTGGAGTCATTTGATAGCCTTATATTCTGTTATTCGAGCACAGTTAACATGGAACCCCAGTGACTTGTTGCTAATGGATACTTTGCCATATTAAACAGTATGATAAAAGAAAGACCTGCAATGATTCGAAGCTCAGCACAGAGCAGTTTGTTGGGTGATTTTTTGCCGGTTTTGGCTTGTTTTGGTATGTTTTCAAATTCACAATAACAACAACAACAACTTATGCTTGTATAGTCCTAAATCACAACAGAAGTCATCTCAGAGGACTTAACAAAACCATTGAAATCACCAACACAGATCAGAGAATGAACAGTTAAGACACAAAATATACACATATGAATTGGTCCATAGGGAGAGACCAATGTAAATGAATGCTGATAAATGTCCATACATGTTGTAGAATGTTAAAGTGTCCTGGATCATCACCACAGTCCTTCTTGTTGGACACTAACTGTCCAACAGACCCTCCTGCATCGGCAAGGAAAAACTCACAAAAACCAAGTGGGAAAAAGAGTGAGAAACCTCGGGGAGACCCACATATTGAAAGAGGGATCCGCTTCACATGGACGGACGCGCTAATCATCCAGGACCTAAGCTACAGAACGAGGACCAATGACACGCAGCGGCCGCAGAACGTGCACGTCTGGTGCAGGACTGAAGGGCCCCAAGGCGGGTTGGGTAGGGCAGTCCTCAGGTGCAGATGGAGGGGGCAGGGCAGTCCGCTGGTGTAGATTGAGAGGGCTGGTTCAGAGGTCACGTTGTCTGTCGCGCGATGAAACAGACAATGGGACAACGGGTGAATAGCAATGGACACACTACAGACAAAATCTTAATAACGCAGACAGGTGCAGGACTGAAGCGCTCCGAGGCGTGTAGATGGAGGGGGGCAGGGGAGTCAGTACAAAAAATAAAACCATACATTAGTTTACCTGAAAGCTGGTACAATAAATAGTAAAAGTAATACAGGGTTTGTAGAGTTTCTAGTTTAACCCCCAGCAAGTGGCTTGAATGAGTAATCTTATATGCTTAGAAGCCGCATCTGTCACAGGCAAGAAAATAATGGCAACATTATATGTTTTGTATGTTATAGACCACTAATTGTGCATATTGCATGCCCCTTAAAGGACCTTCATTTCTGCAATAATTAGCATATAATACTATTGAAAACACTGCAGATATTTGGATATTTTAACATGTCCACATAAAAAAAATAAAAAAGTTGCAAAGATATGATCTGTGTGAGTTTCCACCAGGTTAGCTCACACCTGCCACATTCCTGGCTCAGCTCCAAAAGCTCAAAGCACACGGCATGAGCAGGGAATTTCCCTTTCTCTCAAGTATAAAAACAGTGGAGCTGCAGCTCAGACACATTAACTCTGCTCCTCCTGCTCACAGCACAATTCTTAAAGAATATACAAGATAAACAATGGCGAGCGACAAGACTTTCATTGCCCTTTGCTCTATGGCACTCTTAACCCAAATACTCGTACCAGCACATTCACGTACGTATGGGGAGCAACTTATATGGTAGTTTTCCAGGTTATTTTATATTACATGGACATTTTTAAAATGACAGTATTGCTAACAATTGTTAACAATTTTAATTGTTAATAATAATAAAAGTTCAATTTATTTGAAGTATTAGTATTAGTAGTAGTGGTAGTAGTATTAGTAGTAGTACTATCTAACTTTTGTTTTTTGTTTTTAGGGAGCTGTTGTCTCAAGTACACCAAGAAGCATTTGCCATGTAAACGGTTGCTCGCCTTCAGTCTCCAGTCCATGAATCGGAACTGTGACATCAACGCTGTAATGTGAGTGTTCAATATAAGACAAAAAGTAGAAGTAGTAGTAGTAGTAGTAATAGCAGGCTCCCAATATGATTCATTGTCAACGTTCATGTAAAAACTAAGCTCTAACATTATTCTGAACACATACCAGCATTGCTTCATTAAAGCTTCCTCAGTCTGTGATCCCATAGGGTTCATATTCCTGAACAGAACATAGAAATCTTTTGAGCGTTAACTATTGTTGTTTATTTTCCACAGATTTCACCAAACAAACGGCCGCTTAGTGTGCGCCGACCCGCTGTCCGCAAATACCCAGAGAGGCATGAAGTGTGTCAAGTGAGTCCCCACTCATATACATATCTTTCGCTCTGTGTGTCTTTTTCTTTCTCTCTCTCGCTGTCTCGCTCTCTTGCTGTTTATTTCTCTTATCTATATACAGTACAGTACAATAGACATACCTTCACTTATATCGTGTTCCTTTGCATTTCAGTCAGAGACGACAGCAAGAAGAAAAGGTCATGATGCAATAAGACTTGTGTGTGTGTGTTTTTATTTCAACATTTACATATCTTTACTATTTATACATGTATGTACATTGACTCTTATTTATGTATTTATATTTTCTATTGTTCTATTTTCTGAACGGACAAAAGTAGTATTTGTAATACTGTACAAGATGTGACTTTGTAATGAAAACACAAGAGATAATAAATTATGTTTTACTAAAGGAACACTGTAGACCCGGATTTTGTAAATGCTTAAACTGTTTGGTCTGTGTACTTTTGCTTAAAATAAATTTTCTATTTTTGGAGGGAAATGGGGAAAAAAAAGAAAGCTATTTGCACTTTCAGGCACACGGCAATATACAAAATTGACCATTTTGGTTTTTTAATTGCTTCTGTACATTATAAAAACCAGATTTTTCCGATTACCCGGAAGTGAAACAAGTTTGTTTACTTCTGCCTTATTCGCACTGGTCTAGTATTACCTGTGGACATCTGGTCATTTGTGATAATCGCAGAGGACGTCTGAGATCTTGCAGTGCATTCACACAGAATCATTAGTTATTCCGTTTCAAAATAAAATCAGAAAATCTAAATTTCCATTCGTTTATTGTTCTTTTCCTTTTCTAAACTTGAATAAAAAAATAATTCACTTTGGAGAGACCCAAGAGGGAAAATGCAGTTAGAAGTTTGTTGATTGAGTATGTTTGGCGCCCTAGGCCCGGGAGAGATGCTGTTGAGTGCGGCGCTTGCTCGCGCGCATAATCCCCCCCGGGGCCTAGGCACTGGTGACGGCAGAGGCAGTAGGCAAGCACGCTTCGATGAGAGAAGGAGGAGGTGGGGCGGCGGAGGCTTTGCAACCTTCAGAAGGCCGGGAAGTGGGCGTCTCCGGCTTTTAACTTGCTGTCCTGGTGGTTATTGGTGGATTAGATGTGGGCGTTTTGCTGGTGTAATGAGTAGAGGATGAGCAGGCTTGTAGATCTGGCGGCAGCGGCCGGGTCTACCACAGTGAATTTTCGCAAAGAGCTCCATTTCACTTTGGAGAGACCCAAGAGGGAAAATGCAGTTAGAAGTTTGTTGATTGAGTATGTTTGGCGCCCTAGGCCCGGGAGAGATGCTGTTGAGTGCGGCGCTTGCTCGCGCGCATAATCCCCAAAAACGGGCAGAGTTATCTTTGAGCGCTGGGACGTGAGCGCTCGCTTCACGATCAACCAGACGCTGTAGCAGAGTTATCTTTAAGCGCCGGGACGTGAGCGCTCGCATCACAATCGACCGGACGCTGTCTGGGACGTGAGCGCTCGCATCACGATCGGTACCAGACGCTGCAGTGGAGTTATCTTTGAGCGCCGGGATGTGAGCGCTCGCATCACGATCAACCGGACGCTACCTGGGACGTGAGCGCTCGCATCACGATCGATACCAGACGCTGTAGCAGAGTTGTCTTTAAGCGCCGGGACGTGAGCGCTCGCATCACGATCAACCGGACGCTGCCTGGGACGTGAGCGCTCGCATCACGATCGGTACCAGACGCTGCAGTGGAGTTATCTTTGAGCGCCGGGACGTGAGCGCTCGCATCACGATCAACCGGACGCTGTCTGGGACGTGAGCGCTCGCATCACGATCGGTACCAGACGCTGCAGTGGAGTTATCTTTAAGCGCCGGAACGTGAGCGCTCGCATCACGATCAGCCGGACGCTGCCTGGGACGTGAGCGCTCGCATCACGATCGATACCAGACGCTGTAGCAGAGTTATCTTTAAGCGCCGGGACGTGAGCGCTCGCATCACGATCAACCGGACGCTGCCTGGGACGTGAGCGCTCGCATCACGATCAACCAGACGCTGTAGCAGAGTTATCTTTAAAAGTGCGTGCCGCCACCAGAAATCCTATTGGTTCACTTACTTTGCTTTGTATTGCTTTGCTGGGAGCTTACGAGGAAGCCAGTAGCCGTTGTGCAGCCAAGATGGCGGACGCGTCTGGCCTGATGTAGGCGGAGAAGGCCGAAGAGGAACAGCGCCCCAGCTGTTGCAGAGAGGTGTGGGGGAGCCCCAGCGAGGCCGCGCGCGTGGCAGCGCCTATCCGGAAAGAGTGGGCTGTGTAGAGCTGGGGAGATAATTTACAGAGGAGCAGTAGGGATCTTAGTTGAGCTCTGAACCAGGTTGCTGTCATGGGAAGAATGTCTGGAGTGAGAAAGAGAGGTCCGTTAAAATCTCCTTTTTGCAGCGGAGGCGAGTGTAACGCATCATGGATTTGTAGGGGCAGAGAGATGTGTCGGAGTGAGCTGTTACTATATTGCAGGCTCCTTTGATTTTTGAATGTTTGAGACGGAGGTTGAAATGGTCAGGGGACATTATGTTGGGTGAAAAAGAGCGATCTTTGCTTAATGCTTCCACTACGTCGAGATTATCACGCATGACAGAGATCCTCTTTCTCTGCCACGTGTGATTCCACAGCGCGCAGCCACGACCACTGGGAATATCTCGTGTAGGGCAGAGGAGATGCTCCGGTGGAAAGTAGCGGCCACGCTCGGCAAACCAATGGTCCTGGAAGAATCCCCCAAAACCCACGGAAGGGGCAGCGTCCGTGTAGAAGCGGAGACCTGTAGGGGCAGTGACATATCGAAGAGGGCCATTGATGTTGCAGGCGCCCCTACGCTTAGAATCTTGGGTTGGAGAGTAGATAATCAGGATAGTAGGATGGTCGGGAAAGCCGTGTCTCGGACCGCATGAAGGTTGAGTGAGCAATGGTGAGACGCTTATGCAGAGAAGCCATAGAAGGAGAGCAGGAAGATGCTGCGAGGAGGGCAGACATGTACTTGGAAGATGAGCCGGAGTTCAGTGCCGCTGCAGGATGGGCAGCATGATGGGGAGCCTGCGATCAGAAGAGTGAAGAATACAGGTATGGATGCGTTTGATTAGGAGTCCGATTGACGGCTCAGCGCAGCTACTTGGCCAGCTGCATCTGATAGATCAGAAGATTAAGTAGAGAGATGAAGCACGACCGCCGAAGCGACCCTGGGAGCATAGGTGCGAGTCCGGCGCAGCGCGGCATACTCAGCCGGGCTGCATCCATTAGAAGCAGGATAAGCTTCTGAGAGAGTGGGTTGCAGTAGCAGTAAAGTGTTAAAAACACAGAACCATTGGTCCATAAGGAGTAGACACAAATGTCATACATGTTGTAGAATGTTAACCCTTTAGGCGCCAGAGTTTTTTCAAGAAAATATACAATTTTGATTTCAAGATTTCAAAAGGCTATAAGTTTAAAATGGTTTGAGATAAAGGCATACTGTAAATTAGAAATATCTTCAGTTTGAACCAAACTTTGGGATGGAAGTTGATTCGTCATCTAATTTGCATATTGTGACGTCATTAAGGTGGCGGCCATTTTGGAAAATGTTAATTATTGTATAAAAACTTCAAAAAGCTGTAGCTTGGGAGTTTTTTTTAGATCAGGGAATACTATAAACAGTCAGTGTGAAATATCTTTAGTATGAAATGAATTTGGGATAGAAATAAATTCCCTGATCCAGATTATAGATAATGTTTTAGCACTGGTTCGCGGCCATACAGAATTGTATTATTTTCATAGACCTTCAGTGCTCAAGACAGCTCTCTTTATAGTTTACAGTCATGAAATCTGGAGTTTGGTTTCAATATTTCCCTTTCAAAGAAGTGGTGGGCATACTATTTTTCTCGGTGGAAATGAGGCTCCTGGATTTATGGTTTAGAAACAGAGAGATGAAATGAATGGGCTCAGAACATGTCAGATCGTCTCAACAAGCAACAACAGGCTCTTCAACACTTCTGATCCACTTTTGTGGATTATTTTCTCTCAAGAACTGCCTTGATCCTCATCATCACTGTTGGTAAAGGCAGTGAACGCGAAAAGCGATGTGTTTTATTCCCGCGGCTCTCCCGCGTCTCCCGTGTTCCCCGTGGATGTTTACCCCCGCTACTTTCTCCCACATGCCCGGTGTTATGATGCCCCTGTACCCTCGCCTCGACCACAGCCCCTGTTTGGCGTTCACAGAATGCTTCTACCGCGGCCACACGGAGGACAAGCAGCCGCTGTACAGGGGCTGATTGTGGACTATATGGCGCGGTCTCCCCGTCACTAATAATGTCTGTGTCTGCTTCACTGGACACCTGTGTGTCTTCCTCCTCTGAATCTGAGTGAGCCAGTACCAGACCAAGTACTTCTCTGGTACTGAAGACCTCGTGAGTAAAATAAAAAACCCTCTCTCTCCCTCTGCGCTGCTCTCGCTCCTCTCTGCTCTACCGCTGCTGCTTCGCCTCCGCGCTGCTGCGCCGCAGGTGTTTTACGAACTCAATTTACTCAAAAACTTTCAATATAACCACACCCACAAATGCTGCTCATATTACAGGCACACATGTCCACTAACCCCTGGTGAAAAGTATTAACAAGATTCTGCACCACATTTTTACATACAGCCTGTTTAAGTGAGCAATGTTGCTTGTCGCAATATTGCGACTTTGGCGCTTAAAGGGTTAAAGTGTCCTGGATCATCACAGTCCTTTTTGTTAGACACCAACTGTCCAATAGACCCTCCTGCATAAGAAGAAAAACTCTAAAACCCAGTGGGAGAAAAGTGAGAAACCTCTGGGAGACCAGATATTGAGAAAGGGATCCGCTCCACATGGACGGACGGGCTATAGATCCAGGACTTAAACTACAGAACGAGGACCAAGGCCTGAGACACCGGGGGGTCAGGGGGTCATTCTTGCAAGTGCTGTGGAGACATGCTCCTCATCCAGGACATTCTCTGAAGAGAGGAAAAAACCATCACATTTGAATGTCGATATGGAAGCTGCCATCCCATATGCTAATTTGTTAATAGTCTGTACATGTACGCATCATTTCCAACAAGGCCAGTTACAATAATTATGTATCGACTTATTTGATAACTGATAAATAAAACAATATGGTGGTTTAATATCTATCAATTTACCTTGCAAAAGCGGAGACATTTGGACAAGGTTGTAGCTGTAGATCTGTAGATTGCACAAT